TTTTGACCCCCACATCGTAGACTTTTCGGCCAACCGGCCCCCGTGTTCTGTCGCACCAAGGCAAGATCATGCCAAATTTGAAGCGCCTGCGGCGCCGGGAAGTGCCCTATCGGACACCCGACAATCTAGATCTAGATCTAGATTCCTAAAAGAATTTTTTTTTTAAAGTTTAGCCCGAGCATAATAAAAAAGAATACATTAACCAAGTTGACTTGCTGTGTCTCGAACCCGCACCACCTGCGTGGTTTAATGTACACTAACACCTCCGCTATTTAGGCACCTTATAAAATACGGAGAATGAAACACGTATTTTAAAATCTTAACTTACGCGAATATGCCTATTCTTTCAAATTAATTTTTTATCCCAAATTAGCCAGTTCATAACAAAGATTTTGTATAAAATAAATAAGTCTTGAAATAGTTTAGTCCTAATATAGAAATTTATTTTTGGAATTGATTTTAGAGAAGTTAGAGTCTAAATCTAGATCTTAGCGTCTACGTCTAGATCTAGTTATTGCGTAGATTTAGATTTAGATTTAGTCTAGATCTAGAATCTCTAGATCTAGAATCCAAATACATAAAATAAATGTTATGAGTTTAGGCCGGAAAAATTGTATTGTATACATTTCATAGTGTACGTAGATCTAAATCAAATTTGAATGAAATAGTTCATTTCTTTTCATTCTAAACACGGCAGATGACGTCATTAGTTAATGTATAAGCAATAGTGACGTCACAGTTTTATGCGTTCTTTTTCACATATATTAATGCTTTTCCGGTTGCATAAATAATACTGTTTCCCTACATTCGAATACGCCTTTAATTTTATTTTCTTCTTTAACTAAAATTGTGGTTATACATTTAAAACATCTAACATATTATTTTCAACAAAAGTCCGTAAAAAGTTCTTCATATATCGCTGCCGATTCTGACGTGATGTCCGGCGAAAATTTTTTGCGGACAGAGAAAGAGAGAGAGAGAGAGATGTGCGAACGTGGGGATTTATATATTAGGATTAGATAGGGAACCACTTTTAAGTTAGTAGGGAACCACTTTTAAGTTGGTAGGGAACCACTTTTAAGTTGGTAGGGAACCACTTTTAAGTTGGTAGGGAACCACAGCTTAGTACGTAGGGAACCAATGTTAAATAGAAAGGAACAACTGTTAAGTAGGTGGGCAACCACTGTTAAGTATTGGGGAACCATACATAGGTAGAGAATGAGTGATCGTGAAAACACGTGCGTGGTCATTGGAGTCGGCGTGGTCGAGTCGGTAAAGTTCATGGTTGCTAAACGAAATGTCTCGAGTTCGAACCCTTGGGCAGGTGAGGCTCGTTAGCTTGGGACAGCAACATTTCTAGGAGAGACAACTCCAAAATCAAACAATTGCTGCCTTGTAGCTGCCCATTGCCCCGTTTGTCTGCGTATCTTTAAAAACTGAAATACTCATATTGACCGGATAAAAAATTCAACTCACCACATTACTTCCACATCCTTTAAGTTCATTTGTTTTAACACAACTTTATTTTCTAAGACATTTTCATTCTTTCTTCAATACCTCATACAAAGTGTCGTTTTTCAAGCACATAATTTACAAGTAGGCCCAATCTGCTCAATTTCTCGGTTCCGAAGCATTTTCTGCATACTTTCCATTACAGCGTATGTTTGCTAGAGGCAGTCGACAATCAGACGCTGAAAGCCTTCGAAATATTTTGAGCGTTCAAATATGATTTTTACGTGTGATGCGGCCGCCATCGCGGTAATATATTTGTGTACATTTTTAGGCCAAATATCCCAGAAACATTTTTTTTTTGCATCCAGCGTCAACGATATTTAATCAAAATCTTTTCCCGACAGATTGACGGGTTTTTCAGCTTGTATTAAAACCTGCAAGCCGATGAGAATTATTGTAAATAAATCAAAAACGAATGATTGAATCCAATCACTTCGATTTGCTTTAGAACAAACACACGAACGTGTGTAAGAGGGAAAAAAATAAATTTCCACAAGAATTCCAATGCCGTCAAGTTTTTTTTTTTTTTTTTTTTTTTGGATTTTCCTGCAGGAATTCTAATCAATATTTTTTCTCCCCTTATACCAGTCCGGATTGCCTCCCGTGGAACTAATGCAAACGGCACCTGGACTCGGCAGGACGTCTGCAAGTCTGAATGCCCAGTACCTTCTGGAACTTGCAGGCTGGCGGATATTCTATTCTCTGCCAATATAATACATGCTTTACAATAACTGAATCAGGTTTTAACACAAGGTAATGTTCTTTAGATATCAATGGGCCACAATAAAACGGCAGGTCGGCGGGACTGCTCGGTGGCCAGACAAATTGGAGCCGCTTGGAGTATTGGCAAGCGTCGAGAGTTATCTTTTCCTTGAAGCGTTTTAATACCCCCATTGTAGAGAGTATTGATACGATTTTTTGTTTATCAAAATATGAGTCTGCCTCTATTGGGTTTGTAAATCAGGAGAACGTTTAAAGCGAACGACTTGTGAGGTATGCATTTAGGGCATTTAGTTTTCAAAACAAAATTTCCAAAACAAAACAAACAAAAAATTGTTGACGAAAATACGTTTGTTTAGAATGTACGCTTCTATGTGCTCTCATATTCTAGCCGTGCCAGAAAGTGTATATAATGCTTGATAAAACTTTTATAATGAAATAGCTGTTTTGAAGCAGAAAAAAAATAGTTATTTGTGGATCGTTGCTGAAATGTGACGTCATTTTAGAAGGGGCACACGGGGATTCTGAATTTTTGCGATTAGGGGTCATCCATGTATGACGTCCACAATTTTTTTTATATTTTGGACCCCCCCCCCCCCACAAAAATTCACTTTTTTCCTTATACAAGTCCATATGCGTCCACAAAAGTCAGTTTTTTTTACCCCCGCGTGTGGACGTCATAAATAGATGACCACTTATGGGCTGAGAGAAGGGCTGCGTTTCTTCCGGACTTTTTTTTTCTCCGGGAGGGGGGGGGGGGCACTTGCGATTTTTTAAAGGGGGGGGGGGGGTCGGCGGACACTGGTAAAAGTATATGTTTTCTGTAGACTTTCTTAAGTCGTCGTCGTCGTCGTCGTCGTCCCCCCCCCCCCCCTCCGAAGAGATACCTGGTAGAAACTGGAGAAAGGTTAAAATCGTTCTAACTTCTTCCGTTGTTTGAAGACACTTGATTAAAAAAAAAGTGTACCCTACTTTTAGAATGAAGTCAAACTAGATAGTTTAAAATTATAAACATAAATAAATAAATAAAACTTCATATCTCCCGCCTATATTTAACACTGTGAACTCAATCATCTCCTGATATTTTAATTGACTGAGTACATTTTATCTCTCGGCCTTCACCACTGAACAACGAGGCCTTGTGTGTAGGGACACATACAGGTGGCGTACTAATCCCTAACCTCCCCCCCCCCCCCGCCCCTCCCCACCGCGTGACGCTACCTGGCTCAAATTGGACCCTCACATACTTTATGGCCAGCAAGGGGGACGCCTAGGCATTGTACTGGTCAAATAATTGTCCATTGGCCTTTGCAGTGGACAAAGATAAAACCCCACACGGCCTCCGGCCATTAGGTTTCGGGAAAAAAATGGTAGCGTTAAAACTATCGGAAAGTTGTCTGCTTCTATGCGTGTTGTAAATCTTGACTCTAACCCTAACTTGTCTTGACCTATAGGCCCCTATCTCTAACTATATCTTAGACCCTCAGGGTACGATACAGTCAAAACATACTTGACAATCTTATCCTACTTGTAGGCCTATTACTGAGGGACTGTTAGCATGTAAGGCTCGGGTTCGGGGTTCGGATCCCGGTCTAGAGTCTGCTTGAAGTCCCTGAGTCCACCCAGCTCTAATGTGTACCTGCCTCATGTCCCTGAGTTCAATCAGCTCTGATGTGTACCTGCCTCACGTCCCTGAGTCCACCCAGCTCTGATGTGTACCTGCCTCACGTCCCTGAGTCCACCCAGCTCTAATGTGTACCTGCCTCGCGCCCATGAGTCCACCCAGCTCTGATGTGTACCTGCCTCGCGTAGTGCATAGTGCTGACAAGTGACAATCAGTGCTGACAATCAGTGACCACATTATCTCTTCATAAGCCGAGATCACAGAAACTCTATTTCATCTGCTACATTGAAAGAATAGTATACAATACAGCTGTTACTACTACTATATTACTACACATAAATAGGGTCTGTATAGGCTTTTATCTTGCATTTGAAATAAACTACACCTAAAAAGCAATTAACAAGTAAAAAAGTGAGCGTTAAAAAAGTTGTTCCACTGTGTTTAGATCTAGATAGGGTTTCTTTCAGGGATCTATTCTCTGTCCCTCCCCCTGAAAAATGTCTACCCCAAAAGAAATATAATTTATATAGAAAATACATACCCTTACCACTATCACCCCCACCCCACCCACCCCTGTGAAATATAGTCCGACCCCCTCCCAGGAGTCTGATAGAAACACTGGACCTGGGCAGAGACCTAGGCTAAAGGCGGTGTTTAAACTAAACTTTCAACCACGGGCTAATTAAAAATAGAGCCCGAATCCTTGAGCGCCTCATGGCCGCTTAAGCCCTGTGTCAATATGAAGGCCCTATGTCTGCTGTCAGCGTTGCCTTGGGAAAAAAATAGTGTGATTTACCTGGGGGTATAGAATAAAGTGGTGACCTACTTTAAAACTTTCACTACAACTAATGTCTTTATAACTGATTTTTTTATATTCAAAAAGTTTACGCATAATGATTAAAACAAGACTGAATGTTTATATACGTTCAAAAGAAAGTTGTTCTGGACACGGTAAAAAGCATTCCTGAGTTCCATTTTGGTTTCCCTGCGAACTTTGAACTTGATTGAAGCGCGTTCACGTAAAGAACCGAACGGCTCTCTTCGCCGTGTTGTATGGGTTTGCGTGCCTGTGCTTTGGGTAGCCGCCGCGTAGCGCGCGCTTCTTGCCCTGTTAACGAATCACCTCTCAGTGTTTTGTGTATGTGTGCGTGTAAGTTCGGAGTTGAGGTTATTGTTCTTTACCGTTGTTCAAACTCACTTTTGTGTGTGGTAGATTACTAAACTACAATTAAGTTATTGTACAGTAATTTCTAAATCATGTGGTTCACCTGTGAATTAGCCAGGGGATAATCAACGGATCCTGACGTGCTAGAGTTGTGCCTAACACTCCTAAAGCACACACAAAGCTGAAGTCACCGAACGGGTTGAAAACGTCTTGTCGAGCTTGGGATTTCTTTTGCAGGTAAAATTCAAATTGTAGAATGTCGTTTTTAACTGTTAAAAGTTGTTGTTATTCCTTTGGCCGTGCTGATTTAGTTAACAGCGCTGTTATTTTTTTTTCTTATTCCGTAAGGAATTAACACTTTTTTAAAAAGTTTAGATTTAGAACATTAGAATTAGAAATCTAGAATCAATTTAATAGGCCTATTCGATATAGATCTAGATCTAATATTATTATTAGTATAATTAAATTATTAGTCTACTCTAGATTGACACTCTAGATCTAGATTCTAGATCTACAGATCTAGATTCTATTTATTATTATTATCAAGTTAGCATTTATTATGAAGTAATTAATTAGTTAGGGCCTAACTAAAAGTTCTAGATATCTAGATCTAGATCTAGAGATCTAGATCTAGTCTAGATATTAGATCTAGAATCTAGATTTATAGTAAAACTATTACTATTACTATTATTAGGCCTAAGATTTTAGAAAATTTTTAGAATCTAGACGCTAGAATTAGATCTAGATTCTAGATCTAGATTCTAGATCTAATCTAGATCTAGATCTAGAATGATAGAAGACTATAGAATCTACAGTACAGTCTACAGCACTAGATCTAAATCTAGATCTAGATCTAGACTCTAGATCTAGAATTCTAGATCTCTATATCAGTATATCTAGAATCTTGATTCTAGACTCTAGAATCTAAATCTAGGTTCTAGACCTAGATCTAGATTTAGAATAGATCTAGAATCTAGATCTAGTCTAGAATCTATCTAGATCTAGATTCTAGGTCTAGGCTAAAATAATCTTAACTAAAAAATTAAGCCTACTAAAAATAAATCTCTCAAAATCTAGATCTAGAATCTATATCTAAAAAATATTTACTTAAGTTGGAGTTAGATCTAGATTTAGATCTAGAGTCTAGATCTAGAATCTAGATTCTAGTCTAGATCTACCTAGAATGTAATTTAGATCTAGATCTAGATTCTAGAAATCAAGAATCTTTTCTAGATTCACAGTTATGATAATATAGATCTAGATCTAAATCTAGATTCTAGATCTATTCCGAGACCGAGATATCTAGATATATCTAGATCTAGGTCTAAGTCTATGTATTAAAACAACGAGATAGGTCTAGATCTAGAATCTAGATCTAGCGAGTACTAGCCTAACTAGATCTAGAGTCTAGATCTATTCTAGACTAGAAATCTAGTAGTATTGGAATCTAGCTCTATACTCTAGAATCTAGATGTCTAGATCTAGATATCTAGATCTAGACTAGTCTATATCTAGATCTAAGTAGTTTATAGTCCACCTGTTATATGAAAGAAAGGGGTAGTCTGTAAACGAATGTCACGCAGTTATAGCTTTTCTTCGTCAAACGATACAAAAAGCCCAAAGCCTTCCCTTCCAGATCTAGATCTAGAATGACAACAACCGATTCCATCACACATCTTTATAAGGCCTGATAGAATATGGGGACATCCATTTATGACGTTCACAAAAAATCCACTTATTTCCCTTATAAAACTCCATACGCGTCCGCAAAAGTCAATTTTTTTCGAACCCCCTCCTCGTGTGGACGTCATAAATGAATGACCCCTAGTCCTATGGCCGATGTGTCGTACCTGTACTGCATAACTGTTTATAGATCTAGATAGATCTAATTTAGATTCTATTTTTAAAAAGCTAGAATGATGGAATTTTCTCAACAAAAAAGTATGGTAGAAAACTGGTAGATCTAGATCAAGCTGGTAGTTAGGTAAATAAATCTAGAATCTAGATCTATATACAAATATGACTTGCAAATATCAACTCTAACCCAAACCCTAAATTCTGACCGTAACACTAAATCTGCGACAGTAGAGCATACTAACAATACCCATATTGTAAATCAAAATTGGAAGTGTGGGGTGTCAGTGACTAGATCTAGATCTCTATAACTGTTAATAAAAAAAAAAGTTTTTATCTCTTTTTTTTTTTTCATTTTCTCCAACTCCCTGCATCTTCACAAAAGTTTGGTCTCCTTCAAGGTGCGGTGACGTCATTTATTGACGTGGCCCGAAGCAAAAATAAAACGAAGTGTCTACTCGGAATAAGATTTTTCGGCAAAAGATAGTTCTGCGCATGCGCAGTGACCTATGGCTAGGGTTAGGGCTAGAATGAGAGTTAGGGGTAGGATTAGGGATAGGGTTAGGGATAGGATTAGGGCTAGGGTTAGGGTTAGGGATAGGATTAGGGATAGGGTTAAGGATAGGATTAGGGTTGGTATTAGGGTTCTGCGGTTGTAAACACACGCATGCGCAGTACCATCGAAAACATCGCCGCTAAGTCGTAATTTCTCTCCATTGCGCATGCGTATCGCATGCGTATCTTATTCCGACTAGAATCGGCCAAAATAAAAACTTAGATCTACACACAAATTCAAATGAAGGCTTTACCCCAGCCCAAAGAAATGAACCTGAACTCATTTAACACCACATAGAGTGGGCTAAATCTTTGTTGAATCTAATTTTCTAGGGATGTAAACCCATGAATGACTTCATGGTTTGCACTTCAGATAAAACAAGTATCTGTTAATACACCTGAATGGGTTTATGTATATGGCCCTGGGTCAGTGACTTTAATGCATGTGTCCTCTCTTGTTTTTAATTTAACACCTGGCCAACAGGTGTTTCTGCATCTGATCATAAATTTAACAAAAAATAAAGTAATACAAAACTTCAAATGATTGACATAATAATGTAGTACATTAAATTAAAGTTAATGCTACAAAATTCAAATGCTATCTTAAAATACATTCTTTTATACACTGTAAAATACTTATCAACCAGGATATGGAAGAACAAGCTGAGTTTAGAATAGTTCTTATACAATAGAAGGCTTAACTTTTCTTATGTATTAAATTAATGTTTATACTCAAAGATGTAAAGTTGAAGCATTTGTAAAATTGTAAACACTCAATTTAATGAGCATCATAAATCATTTTTACAATACACGTTTTATCAATTAAATCAGACAGTGGTAGCTATTTAATCACCATACCTGTAGGCCTAGGATCTAGGTTGGGTGTACATTTACACTGTATATTAGCTGAACCATTTTAAACTTAAAGTTGAAAAAATGTTTTAGAAATACTTTAAATGAATTTGCCCTTCTAAAATAACGTATTGTGATACCTTCAGAACATTTATTAAGAGTAAATTATCAGTTAGGTTATACTTTAATGATTGTTAAATACTAAGTAAAATGTAACATCTGACATTCTTATTAGGCATATTCCCTTTCTTGCTGACAAACTAAAACCAAATTTTAAGCCTACAACTGGCTAATTAAAAATGGTTTATTTAAAAAAATTCATGGTATCAAGTTGAATTTAAAATAAATTTTTTTTCTCCATTTTGAGTATATCTGTGTGTTGATATAAGTTTGAAAATTATGTCTACAAGTATGCATGTCACAACTTTTTGAGCCCTAAAAATTTACAATTCATAGTTGAAAAAGTAATTTATTGTATCGTTTGAGCAGTAGCCTTTAACTACATTCTTAAACATTAAAAGTTTGTTTTAAATTTTACTGCTAAATTTAAGTTAGATTGTTTTTCATATATTTATTAGCTAATACATAGAATTTAGTATCTGTTAGAGAAAATTAAATGTAATCGTTTGTAAAATATATAATAGCAATTTAAAAATTATAATATTTTCCGAAGCTTTAAACATGTTTAGCTCTCTGTTGTTAACATTTTAAAAGTTTTTAATTTTAATATACTTTTTTAAGTGTTACTCATTGTGGATCTATATATATGTTTAATTTTCATAAATTATACTTATAATTATTACATTATACAAAAAAAAAACTGCTATTGCCTTTTATTGGAATGTTTAAATTATTTTTTTTTTAATTGAAGTTAATTAAAGTGACTACATATTTGAATGAATGTTGACCAAACACTTTGACTCTTCTTGTTTGGTAGCAGTAGTGGATCACAAACTGTCATAGCACGCTTTTTAATTTTCGTGTTTTATTTCATTTCGTGATTGACAAACAAGGTTAATTTAACCAATCTGCAATTTCCTGATTTTTATCTGTGCAGTGATAGATTTGTTTTTTTTATACTGTTCAATTTGTTCGTGTAAAGTCAACATTCTCTTATCTACCTGGATTTATGTAAGTCCTACTTCATGTCTGATATCTCCAATTACAGGACTAGCTGTGCTGGTGGATAGGGTAGTGTTTCTTTTTTTTTTAGGTGAATGTTTCAGCAAGAGTCAATCAGTAGGCTATAATTTTGTACATTAAATGATAGGGTTGTGTGTTTTATTTTTAGCATAGTGTTTAAAAGCAGTATCATTTTGTACATTAGAGTATAAGATTGTGTATTTTATTTTTAGCATAGTGTTTAAAATCAGTATCATTTTGTGCACAAGTTGATAAGATTATGTTTTCCTTTTAAACTGAATGCTAAACATCAGTATTATTACTAGGTCATATACATTTTTAAAAAAAATTAAAATAGAATAACCTTTTTTGTCAATGAATATTAATGCAGGAAATTCCTTTTCTTAAAAAATTTGCTTCGTCACTCCCACTCCGTTACAAAAAAAGGCAGTGGTTTGGGTTACATCGAAATCAGTCATGTGTTAAAATATAATAGAATGATCAGGACATATGCACCATGTAGGCCACAATTCAAAATAATTATATGGCCTATATATGTATATAGGACAATGGTCCATGACATGCATATTCTGGAAGATTTTTTCTTGGTAGTAAATCTTTCAAATATATTGTAAATGTAATTTATGTTAGTAAAATAAATAGATGCACAACAGTATTAAAAAAAAAAAAGATGCACATTTGCTTTATTTAAGTCCACTTTAAACAATTTAGATTAGTTAAGCTTTAAACAATTTTGATTTACTTTCTTGGTAAGTTATAGACTACTTATAATAAGGGACATGTATCCACGTGAACATCATTAAATTAAGATAATCCAAATTTCATTACCACGCCCTTCATTGTTAAAATCGCTTTGTTATTTTTTTTATAGTGGGATTGTTATGCAGTATATCATTAAAGACCTCTCCTGTCCTGACCCTCCCACGTACCACGGGGTCCTTGAGTTGACTGTCTGAGATCACATGGAGAATGCGGCTCGCCATTTCCCCGCCTATGGGAGGTACCTCACTCAACCGCCGCATCACCTTTAGCCTTCTAGCCCGGTGTTACAGGTGTCGCCGGGATGGCACCGTCCCGGAACGAGATCTCGCGAGAGATAGCGAGATCTCTCTACGCCGTAGGGATTGTCCTGGTCCTGTTGCACACATCCTCCGCAGATGATGCCGGGCAGGACCTGAAGTACAACATCACCTTCAACATCAGGGAAGATGCAGGCGTGAACACGCTGGTCGGGGAGGTCAAAGGTAACGGGTTCACCCCGCCCTACAACAGTTTAATCGTGACCTCGACCAATGACAATAAGACGAGCTTCAACTTCAACTTTGACCTCCAGACCGGCCGGATCACGACGAAGAATCTCCTCGACCGGGAAGATAAAGACCGGTACGCGGTCATCTTCACCAAGCAGGCCATCTACGTTGTGGTGACCATCAACGTGCTGGACATCAACGACAACACGCCCGCGTTCTCGAACCCCACCTTCAACACCAACATATCAGAGTCGGCGCCCATCGACCACAAGATCGCACTGGGCAGCGTGTGGGACGAGGACTTGGGCGTCAACACGACGCAGAGGGTCGAAATCATTTCCGGCAACAGCGACAACGATTTTGAGCTGACGATAAAAAATACGAGCAACACGAATAAGTTGATCGAGCTGAGGGTTGTCAGGAAACTCGATTATGAGACCATACCGTCTTACAAGCTGATTATACGGGCTGTGGATGGGGGCGGGCGTTATGCTGATATGACGGTTGATATTAATATATTAGATCAAAATGACAACGAGCCTCTCTTCAATATTAGTAAATATTCGGCGAAAGTAACAGAAAACGTGACGGTTGGTACCGCTATCATTCAAGTGTTTGCTACTGATACTGATTCTGGGGATAACGGTCGAGTCACTTTTTCCATTGACCATAGGTCAGACCCGGAGGAATACTTCACCATTGACCCTACATTGGGCTGGGTTAGGGTCAATAAACCTTTGGATTACGAGACACAGGATAGGTTTTCATTGACTCTCCAGGCCACTGACCACGGTAACCCACCCCAGCAGGGGACAGCTGCCTTGGACATTATCGTCGAGAACATCAACGAGCAGCCGGCGAACGTTAGCATCGAGTTCCTGGCCGCCTTTCCCAACGGTCGCGTTCTAGAAAATACCGCCGTCGGCACGAAAATCGCCGGCGTCTCGGTCCAAGACTTCGACAACAGCGGCATATCCAAGGTCATCGTGACTTTGTACAACAGTCAAGGTTATTTCGTCCTGCGCGACCGTGACCTCTACATCAACAAAACGCTGGACCGCGAGACCATCTCGAGCTTCGAGATGTCCATTCAGGTGACCGACCTCGGCAACCCGCCCCTGCGGGCCACCAAGGTCTTCAAGGTCATCGTCGACGACGTCAACGACAACGCCCCCGTCTTCGAGAAACCGTCCTACGTCGCCGACGTCGACGAGACGGCGGAGATCGGAATGGAAGTGTTGACGGTGTCGGCGACGGATGCGGATGTCGGCGTGAACAAGCGGATTACCTACACCATCCAGGACCAGACCTTCGCGCTGTTTACCGTGGATTCTCGCACCGGCAAGATCTACACGGCCGCTGCCATGGATTGCGACCTGAACCCCCACCCGTCGTTCGTGGTTGTGGCCACGGACGGGGGTGACCCGCCCTTGATGTCCAGCGCCCAGGTGACCATCAACGTGCAGGATGTAAACGACAAGGAGCCGGAGTTTGAGGCCAGCTTCTATAGCATTAAAATTGCCGAGAACCGGAGGATTGGGGATTGTATCCTTACTGTAAGTACTTCTTTTTTTTAAAACCGCTCTATCATTACTGTAGAAATTCACATTGTCCCTGTAGTGAACATTTATTTTCTTAGACCCAGAGATTCTTCCAGGCATCTCCAGAAATTGAATTTATATAGAAAATACATACATTTAACAGTGTCATTCCCCCCCCCCCCCCCCCCGAAGAAAATCTACCCCCCTCGAAAATTTAAGGTGCCCCCCCCCCCCCCCCCCCCGGAGAAAAAAGTCTGGAAGAAACACTGCTTGGACCATCTTTTCTTTACTGTAAAATTATTTTTTAAATCTATTGTATATTTACTTTAGTAACTCCTTTTTTGCTGTAAAAACTCTTGACTAATTACGTCTTTAATCTAAGAACCCTTTTTCAAATTACTTGCATCCTGAAACTAATTACCACTTTTCTACTAATGCATCTTTCTTGTAAGTACCTCTTTTAAAGTGTTTCCTTAATATAAGTTGAGAGTTTGGTAGCATATGTATATTGCATTCTTCATTACGTTGTAAATCGGAGAAGGAATGTTACTTTTGTTTATTTTATCTGTAGACAAAACGTGATTGTAACGTACTTGAAAAAAAAAAGTGTTCTAACTCGTCCGAACTATTCAGTTTTATGAGTGATTTGTTTGTGAATATGTGTTTCTAACACATACACACCATGCCCTCGACACTAGCGTCATTCTCTCAGCGTACAATAAAACCCTGTCTCCACACAAATTGAAGTACGTTCTAAACAAATCTCCCCTAAGCTCGGAAATAATTAAAATTTTCTGACTCGCACGAAGACGAACAATAAAACTAATCGTTATATTGTGGTCGTAGACTCCTATGCTCCGTGTGCAAAACCCATCGCAATGCAATTGAGCAGGCTATTTTTTTTTTACCCTGGTGTGTTGAGAATAATGTTCACCTTAATTAACGCTATGGCTAGATAACGAGTTAACGCTAGGTTAGACCAGTGCAGTCAAGCTTAATTGAGAGAAATAATGTCAATAGATTTTTCGTTTTCGAAAAAAAATTGATTCCCTGATCTAAGCTCAGTGTGTATGTCCCCCCTTTCTGTAATTGCTATTCGATTGTTCTTTTATCTAGATAGTAATTGTCGTCCCGTTGGCCCTATCATTTGGGATAGTCCAGTGCAATGGTTTGTTCATTTTGGTAACATTTCCCCCCCCCCCCCCATCCCCCACCCCCACTGACACACTCTATATCGGAATAATCCAGTGCAATGGTCTGTACGTTTTCTAAACCATTTTATTTCCTTGCTCCCTCACCCACCCACCCACATTGGCAATATACTATACATTTCTGTAAACAAATTTTACCCTAACACACTTCAATCGGGACCATGTGCTGTGGCTTGTACCATTATGTAAATATACGTGTTTACCCGTACCCTCCTTTCAGTATCCCACCCGCTATAATTCGGATAGTCCAGTACACTATTTTATTTCTGTAAACATTGTGAATCCATACCCCCTCCATCATTGGGATAGTCTGGCACCATAGATTGTAAGTTTCGGTAAACATTTATGTTTATTTATATTACACACTCGTTCTAATAAAATTCCCTTTACATAGGTACTTGCAGCAAACTTTATATCACATACATAGTTCTCGTGAATAGTTTAATGGCTGAAGCGCCCAACATAGCAAACACATTTGAAAAAAGAAGCACAAATAAAGTCTACAATTCAATTCATCCATCACCATACAGATGTTATCAAAAAAAATTTTTTCTCAATTTTCCTCTTCGAAATTGAGGATATTCAATCAAAATCATTGTTTGCGGCGGGTGTGTTCATCGCTGTTTTAATCGCATTACACCCCGGCCAAAGCGAGGCTCCGTTGTTAATTTAAACTCGGCTCACTGACCGGAAAAGATGTATTGGTTCCTTAGATTCCCCCCGCCCCACCCCTCATGAGATGCTGTATTGTGGTGCTCGTACCTCCCCTTGAAAGCGTGATTCAGTCTTAGTCAGGATGAAGACAATGAAATACGACAGAAGATCAATGGCGAAACTTAAAATTCTGACACATCCAATATTTGATACTGGTTTTCTTTTTTTTTTTTTCTTTTTTTTTTTTATGGTTGTTGAACTATTTGAAAATTGATGTTTCCGTTCTAGCCCCCCTTGGGGTTGGGGTCCCTCCTCTCCCCACACACCGACTGTGTATAATATTACTTTATCAAATTGGACGGCTGATCAAAAGATTGCTAGTTGCACTTGCATACAGCAGCACAGGTTTCAAAGGGCTTTAATTTTAAATCAGAAATTCAGGCCCGTTGGGTGTATTTTAAATTTTGTTGTTTTGACGTATGTCTTTGGTAAAAAAAAAAAATTGAAAAAAAAAACAACAAAAAAAAACAAAAAAAAACAAAACTAGAATTGTCAAAACCAATTTTAAAAACTGTTTATAGCGAGGACAACTAAGTTCAGATATGTGAGTAAGATCTCATCATTATATGCATGGTTAAGTATAATATTAGGGTTAGGTATCGTCTTAAAGATAGATCGTTACAAACGATTCTAGCTGCACCTGTACCTGGGTGTTTGTGCCATATCGAAGTCAACATTGACTTGAACCGTAGACATAACAATTGTAGACTCGCTCGAACCCACACGTATCCTGACTTTATCTTCTTCATCAGTTTTAGAGTGTATAATTCTCTTTGATGACCACCGCTATCGCACGGGCTGTACGTTCTAACACTCATGCTTTATCCGGCCATAGTTTGCCTGCTGGTTTATCTTTGTGGGGTAAAGATTTTTGTTGAAACTACCAGAACTCGATGAGCCGTTCACGTTTTGACACTCGACAACCGGCTCAGGAGAAGAAAAGAAGAAGAAAAAAAATCACCCACTGATACTCAATTCTTTCTGGTTTGTCTCGTGGTTGGGGAGGAAAGGGAAGGGGGGTGAAAAAAATCAGCGAGCCCCACAAGGCCGTCGGCCCCCCTTAAGAAGGAAGCAAACATTCCTAAAGTGAAGGGGAATATAAATGAGGGTTATGCACACGGCCCGGCCGGCCCTCGTGTTTTCTATGTTTGCTAATGGTTTGGGTAAGGACTTGCTCTATAGTTAGCCAAACAGATTGAAAGCAAGGCGTCCCAAACAAAAAAAGGGGTGGGGGGGGGTGCTCCACACGGGGTAGAGGGGATTAACCAACCCAAGTACGGTTTAAACTATTCCCCCCTTACGCTTCGTTTTATTTCACTCTATACACTGATAACAAACTTATTTGCCCCGAGACACCAGGGTAATCTCCCCCTTAGGTCCAGCAGTATAGAACAGGGCGCTCACTCTTGTACAGCGCAGCTCCCTCCCCCTGTACCTAATCTCGCTGTCTGACGTACGCGCGATAAGCTCGGAGAAATCAGAAACTCGGGTCGTTGTCTAAAAATTACCCCGGGTCTATGGAGATTTATTACTGAGTTGAGGGAGAAAACAAGCGGTGGTTTGTTTTGAATAGGAAATAACGATTTCGGTTTGAAATGTATAGCTATCAAACCCGGTAGCGGCTTCCGAGTAGCGGGTCCTCTCTGTCTAGCGGGACTCCGTCTAGCTCGTTTGAAAAACGAAATTAAAAACCCGAGTGTCTGCACCTCATTCATTTTTCACCGAGTACAGTTCCTGTCGGTGTGCGAGGTTTTTTTTTTTAGAGGTTGTTGTTGTTGTAAAACGTTTACTTGTTTGGTTTCGTTTTTTTTAAATTTAATTTTCTCCAAACTTTCAAGTTTAAAATTATGTGTGCACAGGAAGTGGCTGCAATAATAATTGATGATCGTAATTAATATAAAACATTCATTAGAAAAACGTAATTACACTCGCTGAACTATCTTTTTCTACCTTTTATGTATGTTTGTGTGTGTATGAGTCTGTGTGTGTGTGCGTGCCATATTTTTTTTTCTCTCTTAACGCCAACTGTTTCTGTCCCATATCTGATGTTTTGTTCCGTACCTGGCGCACCGGTTGATCATTTGCCCTTTGGTCCTACTATTGGTTGTGTGCCGTGTGATGGTTGGATTGGTGTGTGTGTGTGGGGGGGGGGGGGGTTAGGTTGTTTTTTACCTGTCGAACTCTCTACTATTTCGCCCCATGGTCCACTAATGCTACGGGTCTTCAGCTACCCCCCCCCCCCCCCTACACGAAGCACAAGTAGATGTCGGCGTTTTCTCCCTGTCGGCTTTTTGAATATCGGTCTTTTGTCAAACACCCGAAACGGCCATTTATTTTGGACAGTAAAACACTGTTCAAAAGCGATTATCTAAGCAAACCTTGATACATAACGCAGATGTTTATAATGAAAATAAAACCGCACATTTTCTTCTCTTTAGTCGTCCATCTTGTTTTGAAACAATCGTCTTTACAGTCGTCCATTACATCTTACCCCTACCATTGATTACATATGTGTTCCTACATTACATCTTGCCCCTACCATTGATTACATATATGTTCCCGTATTACATCTCGCCCTTACCATTGATTACATACCGTGTCCTGTAATTCATCCGGTACGTTCCATCAGCAGTACTCGATCTTCAATGTACGTCGTGATTTATTCTCCGTTTTAGATGTAGGATTATCTACATGAAAATTTTTTCTCGGTCTGATCGTGGTCTTAGCCCCCCGGGGGTGGGAGCCGCCCAGCGACCATTAGCCCATCAGATGAGATGGGGGATGATTGGCCCATAAGTTTTCCTCCCCAGACACAAATGGTAGACGTTAACCGTGCAATTACCAGTTCTACATCTACAGTGTCTCCGCTCGTCCGATCACGTGATTACTGTGATAGAGTCCGGGGGTGACTGGTGAATACCTCAACAGTAGAAAATGGGTGTAGGTTATTCGTGTGGGTGGGGGGGGGGTTGTATATCTCAACGGCAACTGTATGTTAGTGTACTATAATGAGGTGAATTTTGTTGAATATGTTACCATATGTTAGGGTAGTGTTGTAAATGTTGATAATGTCACCATATGTTTAGGTAG